GAGTGTGAGAGAGAGAGTGTGAGAGAGAGTGTGAGAGAGAGAGTGTGAGAGAGAGTGTGTGAGAGAGTGTGTGAGAGAGAGAGTGTGAGAGAGAGAGAGTGTGAGAGAGTGAGAGAGTGAGAGAGAGAGTGTGAGAGAGAGAGTGTGAGAGAGAGTGTGAGAGAGAGAGAGAGAGTGTGTGAGAGAGAGAGTGTGAGAGAGTGTGAGAGAGAGAGTGTGAGAGAGAGTGTGAGAGAGAGAGTGTGAGAGAGAGTGTGAGAGAGAGAGTATGTGAGAGAGTGTGAGAGAGAGAGTGTGTGAGAGAGAGAGTGAGACAGTGAGACAGTGAGAGAGAGTGAGAAAGTAAGTACCATAGACACCTCTTATTCGGCCGGAGGGGGTCTCGTCTTTCTTTTATTGCGTTGGAAATTAGTAATATACGGTAAGCACTCCGGCGTCAGTGGGACTGTATTGCCCGTCCCGTGCCTCACCCGCACCTAACTCCGTCTCCGAGAAGAGCGAGCTGCGCTGCGCGTGCAAGGCGGCGCTGGCCAACTGCGGGTAGTGCAGCAGCAGGCGCGACGCCCACTCAGGGTCACGGTCGCCGCTGGCGCCGCCACCGCCCCCACCGCCGCCGCCGGCTCCCGAGAGCTGCATCGCTCCTCCCACCTCCACGTTCCATCTGCAAGAGGGATGCGACGTCCATGTCCATGTTTGGAAAACAATCAATTCCTGGACCTGGACCGATTCCTTGTAGTTATAGAAACACGCAGGAAAAATTGATTTTTTTTTTTTTCAATCTCCGAAAAGGGTTTTCAACCAACATGAGACCTACATAATTCTCTTAAACGTTCTTCAGACTATCCACCAAAAAAATTTCTTCAAAAATGATGAGGCCGTTTCTGAGAAAATTAAAAATTGCCTATATTTCACGCAATATTATGTGAAAAATACTCAAATTTTCGAAAAATTGTACATGACATTTGTTCAAAAAGTATCTATAAAGAACAGATTTTATTAAGAGACAAAATATCTATCTTCAATATTTTAGTTGTAGGAAAAGGCCGAAAAAATTTTGAACTTTTGCAATTGTCGAAAAATTGGAGTTTTCAACCAGCATGAAACCTCCGCCAATCTTGTTTAGACGTTCTTTAGACTATCCAAGAACAAAATTTAATCAAAATCGATGGCGTCATTTTTTTGAACATTTTGAAAATGTTCCAGGAGCTTCATGTAAAGTACTCCTCAAATTAAAACATCAATTTCAAACACAGGGGATCACATCAGTCAGATCGATCGGGGAATGATAATTTTGGAGAATATCGTGTGAACCGCTAGTATTGTTCACAGACGGACTTGTGCTTTTTTAAAAAAATTATTTATTTATATTTAACTTTTACTCATTTTCAACTATTTATAATGAAAATAATGGGAAGAGATTCTGGAGCTCTAGAAAATGTGCGCTGATGATCTTCGCACCATACGTCACATACAGTTTTACTGGTTTTTGACTAAAAAGATCTGAATCTAGACAGACGGAGGGACGGTCAGACGTTTTGCCGCCATTCGACTTTTCGGTATCAAGGACCCACAAAACACGGTTTCTAGCTACACCATGCGTTGGAGAATTTCTTTCTAAATTTATGAACTGGATTTATACACTTTTTCGTTATCAGGACCCTGTATTAAAATGTTTCTGTCGAAAATTCGCTGTTTTTTCTCGCATACCATAACCTTTCCTTCTTAAGAACTTTCTTCTTAAGTGCGAGAAAGTTCAAATGTACCTCGGACGAGCCCTCCCCTCCTCCACCGCTGTGTTAAAGTGTACAAGGGGCTGCAAATAGCTCGCAGTATTTAAGAGTTTATCTAAGCAATTTTATTCTGGAAATTTGCGCTTCTAACAACTTAGGAGCCATAATATTCTTTGGAAACCGTAGATTTTGAGACAACCAAAGAGTTATAATTACAGCGAAATATTTATTTATCCACAGGAGACAAGTAAACCGTTGTACACAACGTTTCGCGTACTTTTTTGCAACCATCTTCAGGTGAAAATTAAACATTCTATTCTGGAAAGTCAAAAACACGAAGTCAATAAATTGATGTTATAATGAAGACAAATACAATTAATGAAATACCTGAAGAAATACAATGAAAACAACGAAATGTTTGACGTAATGTAATGCATACGAAGTACAATGTTTTTCCAGAATTAATATTCAAATTACACCTGAAGGTGCATGCAAATGAATATGCGAAACATTATGTATAATTTGTTTCATTGTCTCCTACATAATTAAAAATGTTGCTGCAATTATGACGCTATGATTGTCTCAAAATACATAACGAATAATAAGACAATCACTAGTGGTATTTGTAGCCATAAATCCATTTGCAGTGGGGACTACTTCAAAGTGTCGTGTCAAATGTCTAGATAACAAACAAATATAAATTAGAGTTAAATAAAGTTTAACCTGGAGGAAATAGCGGAAATATTTCAAATAAACTTTAAAAGGTGAGGGAAAGGAAGGATTTTGATTCATTTTAATGAATTTATTGAAATTAAAGTGCAAACAATAATATTGTATCCCTTTTCAGATGAATTATTAAAACATTCATCATAAACGCGTTGGTGTCGTTTTATTCCAAGCAAAATTTACATTTTGTTCACAACTAAATTGAATGCGAATGCGTAGATACGACTGGAGTGTGCTATATTTAGTATAATGTAAAAAAATGTCCTGTATTGTCCATAAATGATGTCTAAAAACCGAGGCGCACCCAGAATTTTTTCTCGGGGGTAGAAAGGCTAAAGATACAGTGCCCAGGTGACGATGTTTTCTTATAAAGATTTTTTTTCCTTTAGCTGAATATAAATTTTGGTTTTAATTTGCTGACTTGTTAACATTTATAACGTTAACAATTGATTTATTGAATGCCAATCGTTAGTATAGAAAATTAGTAAAAGCCATATTTTAAAAAATGTGTAATTGGCTTGTGGAGAGAGCTGAAGTCCCATACGTTGTCTCCCCCTCCCCTTGGGTGCACCAATGCTAACAAGTTATTGAAGTGACTTACGTCTTCGTGTCCACTGAAGAGACATTAGTTAAACGCCTGAATTCTTCTTCAACACTTGGGCACATCCAGGGTTCCTTGGAATCTTTAGACGACTCATAGATGTGATCATAAATTATTTCAGACTCGTCTGTGATATATAGATTCTCTCGATGTTCGTCGTATTTGTAGTTCCCATATTTTGCCAAGTTGCTTAGCGGGATGGTATCCCGCACAGTGCGGGTGGTGAACGTTTTGTTGTCTGATGAACAGTCTTTGGTCTCAAGAAAAGTAAAATACTCCCTGAGACGATTAGTTCTAATCCAAAGCTCTCTGTTGATTCTCTTGTAGATGTCCGGAGCATTTTTAGTCCACACAATATCAGAACACAACCCAATGTTTGTGTACGCAGCTTCAAAAATATCTAAATCACAAGTATCAGGTAACATAATCAGTCATGTTAAAATAACTAGAGGTTGGCATTTGTGCAAAATGAAACTTTTCGCCGAACTTCCAGTCTCCGCACTCGAAGTAAAAGTATTGTTGCGCCAGCAACAATATAAACAAAATTGATTGCTTTTGTCAAATACAATGTGATATTTTATGGATTGATGTAGGTCCATTGAAAAAAAATCCTACGTAAGACTACGAAAGTTTACGATTTGAAAAGTTGTCAGTACAGGGCGATAAATTATTACAAGTCTTCATCCCGCAGCATTTTTTTAACTCCATTTTTTGTTAAAGTATTACAACCTTTTCAAAGACCTGAGGACTGAAGTAAAATCCATTAGTATATTATCAAATTAGCAGTGTATTTAGCAATACAGTTTAATTTAGAATTAAAATGAATACGCAAATAAGGTACTGTCTAACAAGTAATTGCAGTTGCAATTTCTCTCCAACAAGTATTTATTGGTAGCGCAATTCTGATAATCTACACCAAAATGCTTCGCAGGCGCTATCTCTCAACGAAGCATGGAAGTTACTACGTAAACATACTTCACGGCGAGACCGCGTGATCTTGTCTACTTACAACAATATTCCATCTGATCGTATACAGAACAGGAAATGTTATTTTATTTGTTATTTGTGCCTTGACTTCTCGCTGTTTTAGAACAAAAGGACAATGTTTGACAGTTTGCGCGATAGATTTCAAACTGTTCAAGAAGGAATAACAGCTAGGTAAACGTAGTACTTAACAAAAATGGTTTTAATACTGTATTACATTAAAAACATAAATGCTGTTTTTTTTTCTAGTTTCAGAGGCCTGTCTGTGTCGGATCCCACAAAAAGGTTACATGTGAATAATGCCGTAAATTACAATGCTGGGGCAGATCTCCTACAGAAATATCAGAACGACTGGAGTGAATTACATAAACTGTCAGAAGAAAATGCTAATAAAGCTCAAGTAAAAAGAAACGGATATTAGTGCCTTATACTGGCAATACATAAAAAAACTAAATATTTATTGTATGTTTCAGGAATTAGATAATGTCATTGGAACGCTACATAAACAATATGAGAAGCATTGGACAGATATTACTCAGATTGGAGCATCTCTAGCAGCAATACCACAATTATTAAATAGTGTTCAACAGTTAATGGAGGAAATAGGAACTTTACAAGAACTTTTTGAGGAAGTTGAAAAGGGGTTATTCTATTTAGAAGATCTTGTAGAAACTCAAGAATTACAGGAACGCCAGCTAGATCATCGATTTCAATTTGCTTTGTATAAAGAAAAGAAACTAGCAGAATTAGAAACAGTGAGGGTTCAGTTGGCTAGTGAGCATTCTAAGAAAGTTTTCCAACATGAAATAAGACAGCAACAACTTCTTCGTGAAAGGCAAGACACTTTTGGCCAAGCCTTTGAAGATGATGTTCAACAGTACAAACTTTCTGGGAAAGTGCCAGGTGAGAATCAGATTACATTGAACTAAGTGTTACATCTATTTTAGAAGATATTCCTGTAAGAAATTATTTTTCTCAGGTGCATCTAAAAAAAGAAATGTAGAAAAGGAATTATCTTTGGAAGAAGTTACCCTAGAACCAGAAGATCCACAGGCTTTAGATGAATTTCTTGCTAGTGGCTCAAGCACTGCATCACAAGATTTAGCAGTAGATGACAAAGATAAATAGCTATGAAAATTGACTGACTTCCTGTTCACACAAGATAGAATTTGGATAGTATGTAAAGATCTAGTAATACTTAATTCTTACTCTAATCCTGTTCAGTTTGGTTTTTATGCTGAATTCTTTTATTTTAAACTTTTAAAATGTCAGAAATTCCTCTCCCATATACCCAACTTACCACACAAAGTTTTTGTTAACTTTGGAGAAAAGGAACGGTGTTATATAAAAAAAAATAATACCTACTTAATTTCCATTTTCATGTTGAGGTTAGACAATAACAGAAGAATTGTGATATACTTGACACAGCATTTTTTGATTCTTGTTTCTTTTTCAGAGACATATTTGCTCAATTTTGAGTGGTTATGTGCAATAGTTTTTGTATGAACAAATGAAGATACTGCATCAAGAGCAATATAAAGATAATAATATTATTTTAACTAAGCAATTTAAAGTGTGTAGCATGGTATACAAGAAATCGAGCATGTAGCTGCATTTTGTGACCCTCTGATGTCATGCATTTGAGTCAAAATATTAATTAATGAAATTTCCCCTTATATGATTTTCTGGTTTTGCAGTTCAATCAAAAACGCCATTGTTACAATTTTTGTTTGTTTGTTTGTTTTTCTCTCAAAACAAATTCATTTCTAAATGAATTTGTAAAGTCCACAACATTTGGTGGTTTTCAATTTTTTCTGAAATTAGAAGTAGAAGTTACGTTCATATCTGAAAAATTATTCTATGTAGCTTCTGTTAACAACTAAAAAGATTATAGGAGAATTTTTATTATTGTGTTGAAATGACGTCTGTTTTCCCATCAGAGCTTGATCACTGCTTGATTTCGCCAATTTTATTATAAGTTCCACTTATGTAAAAACTAATATCAACCTTAGCAAAGGATTGCTATAATATAAGTAAATTGGAAGTAAATTGATTCCATATTATTTTGCAGAGGAGAGGAAATAATTGTTTAGTGGTTGTATTAATAGTTATTCCAATTAGGAGAAAGAACTAGGAAGAGATAGTTATGACAAAAATTTGAAGGCTCATGGATTGATGTTCTTAAATAAGCATTGTAAGTTGTGCAAATTAAAACAAGGTTAGGAAATTGTTTTTGAGTAAAATAGTACTTTAAAAGGGAGAAGGGTTTAAGTTATTCAAATGTAGAAATATCAAAGAGAAATCTTGAGAATTGTACTCAATGTCTATTAAAATTGGTTTAACATGAAGCTTAAAGGTTAGGTACAGTTCAAAAGTTGGTATTTTTTTAAATTGCAGGAAATAAAATATTTAGTTGTAATCTTCATGTACAAAAAACTCTTTGCTTATTGTTCGTGAAGAAAATTAATACAATGAAGCAGATCTTGATAGAAGCTCTTGCATTCTGGTGCAAACTTTATAAATGTGCATTTATTCTTATATAAACATAAAACTTAATTTAGTTCAAGAATGCAATGCAATGTTAAAATGTGTGGAATTTCCTTTTGCTATAATTTGCAATAAAAAAACTAAATTATTTATATGTGTTTTTTAATGAATACAGTTTCAGAAGCATAAAAACTGCTCAAGCCTGTTTCCATAAGAATACTACAAGTAATAATTAAGTGAAACTCTTAACATTTTAAACTAGATAGATATTAATAGTTTGTTTTTGTATATTAGAACAGAATTTTATCAAACAATTAATACCAAGACATATTAAACATCAATATTGGAAAAGATATTTAACCCAAAACGTATGTAAATTTACTTTGCTTTCGTGACTTAGTACAGAATTTTAACAAAGTAAATTTATGTTCATTTTCGATTAAAGTATGTTTTTAAATGTTGAGGTTCCTTTTCAAAGAGTCAACTGTACTTAGAGTAACTCATGTTTTATAGATGAAAATAATAATTCCCAGTATATATGGTAATATGGTGTGAATGAATTCCTAGTTAACAAGTAGTGTGACAACATCTGGGCTTGCTCAGTTTTGAATGATTTAATATACTCTTTATGATCTGAATTACTTGTTACAATATTTGCGCTCCCTAGAATTATTCAAGAGGATTACGTATTTGAAAAATTTATAATATTTTATTTATATTTGTTTTTATATTGTAAAGGCATTTAGTTATAAATACATTATTCCAACTTTTAATTCTAATTAGACTTATTATATAGTATTTGTATAAAACACAGGCTCATAGATGAAAATAAAAAAAATTGGTATTAGATAAATTCATGGGAATGAGTGGCATACTGAAGTGAATCGGAGCAAATTAAATGGTTCAGCGTCACATTTTTTGGGGTTTTAAGTTAATGGCAGGAAACTGTTCTTAATACATCTTTCCTGCCATTGGTGAAAATCGTGCTAACAGTTCAGCTTCTAGCTTTGTTCACCTACAGAGGGACCTACAGACCTTTTGCCATAAACTAACTTTTCAGTATAAAGGACCTACAGAACATAGTTTCTGTCTACACACTGTGTTAGGGAAGGTAATTTACTATCTATTGGAATGAAATTTATCTACTTTTTGCTGTTGGAATCCCGCGATAAAAGATTTTCTGTCTAAACATCGCCACTGTACATGGCAACAATTCAATACTTTTTCTTTACTATGTAAGTGTCTACTAGGTGAGAAAATTAAAATGTAAGAAGCTCTAGCTCGATTTGGTATTGAATTGCCAAATTAATGTAGAAGTAAATGTAAAAGGTGTAGGATATTTTATCCTCTTTCAAATTGATTTGTATAATTTTTCTATAGGACTTAAGTTTAAAGAGTTTTATAGGTAAACTCAAAAAAGGTAAGAAAAAATACAGGGTTTGTGAGGTGAAAACATTTAATTAGTTCATAGGTATTTATAACATCCCCAAAGAAAATGTTTTTATGACCTTCCTGGTAAAATGTACCTGCTGACTGGACTCGCTTTCAAGAACTGTCTGATGAGATTTTTATGAGATTAAGAGAGACTGAAACCAAAAATGAACAAGGTATTTTTCTACAAAATATTCCCTTTGTAAATGAAGTTGCTTGAGAAGACCAAGAAATGAAAGAGATGAAGCATTTGTATCTCGTGAAAAAGCGTTTTTGTATTATATTATCCTTGGAGAGATGAAAAATCAGGTGTGTTTAAATGCATTTAAGTCTATGCCCTAAAGCATTTTTGAATAAGAAGGCTGTTGAAGCTTCTCAACTTGCAAACAAGCTAACGATATGTATAGGGAAAAGAGCAGAACAAAGTCAACAAAGAATCACAAGAGTCAAAATTTGGGTTATCCTGTGAAAGACATTGAAAACACGGAGTCATTATTCCAGTAAGCTTATGAATGCTTGGATGCGCTATTAAATATAAAAAGAAGGTGTTTCAAATAATCCACATGAAATATCCAAATCTGAAGTGCAGCTGCCAATTTCTTCTAAAATAATTACAACTTTTGGCAGACCACAACAAGATGAACTGTAATTTTCCTATTATTTCTGTTCAGGAATCCTTCTTGCACCAACTAATTGTTAATCTTATTTTACATACATGATATAAAAATATCATCCTACAAGTATATTTTCCCTTGATGGTACAGCCAGAAAGAGCCCTCGCAAGGTATGCTTGTTGTATATCACAACCTGACATCTGCCACAAATGAAATAACTCAATTGCGTATTTTCTAATCAGTGTGCTAGCCAAAACAAGAATCGTGCCATGTATAGGGTACTCCTTGGATTCCCTGATATTGTGGTTTCAAAAAGATGGATTAGTTTTTGTCATATGCAGGCATTCATTTTTCTTATGACAGGGTTTTCTCAGTGGTGAAACAAACAGTAAGAAAGCACAGGAGGCTCTCAGCATTCATCTTCAAAAGGAAATCATTGTAAGGTCATTTGAGATTAATATGATTCAGCAAAAAGCAAAAAGGGGGCTGATCTGACAAATTCATTGTGCCCATAATCAAATTTATTCATAAATCGAAATTTTGAATTTTTGTAAGCTCTCTCTCTTACAGAAAGCCTCGATTGTTTCTTGGGTTTGTTCAAAATTTTGCAAAAAAAACAACAGCAAAACAGAAAGAATATTCTATTATTGATATATAACAAATATTGAAAATGTTTCAATAATGAGAAAAAAAATTCAAAACAATATTGAACTATTTTTTGAGTTTAAAACTTTTCTTCCATGAAAAGAAACTTTTGATGGATACTTTTGAAAAGAGGTAAACATGAAAAGGATTCATCTTTCTGCATTAAATGCTTGCAAAAAAATAAGTTGTGCCATCACATACATAATCTCTAGTTTGTTGTTATATATATTATATAATCAATGCTTACAAAAAATGCTCATTTCCACCTGCATTCAGATTTCAACTTGTATACGCATATTCAACTTGTATTAGCAGCGCAATTGCGACATAACAAAGATTAATCACAAAAGTAGTCTCATAAATTATGTAATTTAAATCTATGCACAATCTTGTAATTTAATTTATTAATTAATTACAATTCTTTCACTTTGAATGAACCCTCTCGTGCATTGCTACTCTGCCATTCCTGGAAATCAAACATAAGCGCGAGTGCCACGGGGAGTCCTGCAGACATTTTCTTCACACTCATATTTCTTCTAACTTGAATTTCAACGATGAAGCTACGATGCGTTCTGAACGTGTGTGGGTATGGCTCATGGCGCGTCATACTCCGGTGCGTGTCCTATCGCGTCCCAACCACGGCGCTGCCAGCACCGTCACAGTGGGCACCATTCCACTTACAGTGTCCAGTCAACACACGTATAGTATACATTATATCTTTCTTGCAGGTTTACCACAAGAACTCACTTCTGTAGCTTCCGACTGCTTTTACAATTCATAGTATTATTAATTGACTCAGGATGATCAATGACAGAATTTATTTACAGCAAACGAGAGTTGCGGCTCATATTCTGCAATTGGCTCTTCATCAATGGTACGATAATTAGAGCTAGGGAAGGAATGACAGGGTATTGATGTGCTAATACGCATCAGCTAACAATTCTCAGTCCACTGCAGCACATCGATTCCGCCAGTCACCACGGAAAAAAGCAAAAGATGATCCAGAATCGACTAATAATAATAATAATATTTTATAAAATAACAGCTACGATTATTGATGTTTCTGTACCTACAGACGACAACCTTGTGTCAACTGTTGTTGAGAAAAAACAAAAACACTAGCCACTAGCTGTTGAGTTGGAGGATATGTACACATTGCAAAGAGTGGAGATAGTACCGGCAAATGGTGTAGTTACGAATTATTGGCAGAAGGCTGGAAAAAGTTACGAGTCTACGAAAAAAAACTCAGAACAACGCAAAAAGGCCGCTTTGTTAGGTATGGCAGACATCACCAGAAAGTTTTTGTGCCTTAAATGAGGTGGATGAAGGTCCAAGGCAGCAAAGAGTTCACCAAAATCATCATTAATGAAAGACTACACAGAAGTTGTTTAGAACTATATATGAGGTAACTCTTCATGATAGCAACTCCATATTTTTGTAGACAAGTTGTGCCTTGAGGAAGAATGCTCCGACATTTCTCGAGAAGTAGAGGAGTAATAAATAAAATAATAATAATAATAAATAATTATTATAATTAAATATAATAAATTATTATTATTATTATTATTATTATTATTATTATTATTATTATTATTATTATTATTATTATTATACAAGGATCATTAAAGATCTGTTCATTTCACCGGCAGAGGTGGATCAGGACATCAATTGATGTCACTACAGTGCCTCTGACCGGTCCTAGGTTCGAGTCCCAACGGTGGCAGGATTTTCGACAATAGCTGGATAGTTGGGTCGAGTTAAGTCCCAGTCTGGAGGAGAATTCTAGCGGCCGGCTGCTCTGATCGGTAGATTTCCGTGGTTTCTCCTGTCAACACCAGGCGAATGTCGGAGCAGTACCCTTACAAACGGGCCACGGGAATGCGCACGATTTCACCTTCCCCTTCCTTGTTCTTTCCTCGCCCCTTACTTACACTTACACTTACACGCACTACACTATCACACACGTTGGGAGTCCGGCCGGGAGCATAGAGCTTGTCCCGTGTGGGGCGGTGCCCAGATAGTGGGATATACCTGGTCGGGGAAAACCCCGCTAGTCGAACAAGAACATTTCATGATTTTAGTATAGACTTTACGCCAACTGTGGTACTGTTTTACTCTTCCCTGAGAGTTACTACAGATTGCTACATCCCTCCTCAACTTTGAATTCTGTCTCCAGCGCCCTACGCCCTTCTTCCTGCGCGTCATGTCTCCCTTACCGCGTTTCGTTTGACCATGACTGTTCAGTCTCATTTTCTTCCGTTCTTTGCCAAAGGTTCGTAGTCTTGGTGACTGCAGATCTTTTCCACAGTTCATGCCTTTTTAGAGGCTAGAGGTGTAGGAACGTTTAAAGCAGATTAAATCCGTGTTAATAACGTGTGTGTTTCACTGCATTTTTTTAAAGAAATGTATTGACAATTTGCCTACGTGTTGTGAAGTTACCGGTATATATATATATATATATATATATATATATATATATATATATATATATATATATATATATACAACCGAATTATCAGTTTTGTGTACGGTAATAGAAATTGATCTCTAAATCCAAATGGAAGTGCAACTGTAAATGAAGAGAGGTATGAGACTATTGTGGGCAGTCTTTTAAAGGTAAAATATAGTTGTTTTTTTTTTTGTTTTGAAGTAAAGTAACACACAAGTTTTAATGGAAGACACATACCTTAATTAAAAATAAGTGCAGCAGAGTCACGATAATCTGAGGTAATCGTGGCTGATGGTACCTCAGAGTACAAAAATCACGAATTACACAAAAAAATGAAAATACATAACGGAATTTTCAACCACAATGTAAAACGAAGTCAAATTTAATGTGTAGGTTTTATTAAAGTTACATTTTCATACATACATGGCCGCAAACCGGTCACAGCAATGTACCAGACAGATAAACACATCGACCGCCACGACATGTGACGCAGTGTTGTCAGCCCGTCAAGAGCCTGCTGTTGACTATCGTCGCTTGTTTGGTGAATTT